CAGAGCGCAACTCTGTCTCAAAAAAAAAAAAAAGAATAAATTTCTATTCTTTCAAGCCACCCCGTTGGTGGTGCTTTGCTATGGCAGTCTAGGAAAAGGATCCACTCATCCCAGCAGAGAGAAGTGACAGTGTGCTTGAGTGATGCATGTTGATCTGAACAGTTTTTAATTCCTGAAATTCTCACCATATAAAATTATAGCAGGCTGCCTCTACACCAGAGGGGTGAGGGGATTGACATCATCTGTGTTTAGGCCACATTGAGTAACAGATGAAGAGGAAAAAATGAAAACAGAATCTCTGCGGTGCTGGTCCCAAGGAACAGGATTTTCCTCTCTCCAGGGCAGAGAGCCTGTTTCTGAAGCCTGCTTCTCTCTTCAGGGAGACGTGTCTTCCTCTCTCCCCTCCTTCGCGGCTATTTTCCCAGCTGTCAGGAACTCCACCTCGGTGTCCACTCTTTTCTTCATTCAAGAGGAACGAAACTCAAGTTACTGGGCTTTGAAATATCCTTGCTCAATTCACGTGCGTCCTGTTTAAATTCATGGTGTGTTATCTCGGCTTATTCGGATTTAGGAAATGCTCCATCATCCTATTGACTCAGCGCCTAAAATAAGAGGCAGATGCCAGGCCACTTACGCAAAAGGGACTCCCTTGGCAGCATCCTGCTTGTAGTTAAGAATGATCCCACTAGATGGAGCTCCACTTTAGGTCCGGCCGAGGTTCAGAGCACCTTCCTTTAGTCCAGCAATTACAGGAGCAAAGTCCCAGAATGAGCGAGAAGCCCCAGAAGGCAGATTTAGAAGACAATATTACTTACCCTTCACATTTGACTTACTTTTCAGATTAGACAGAACTTCCTACTACTTTCCTCATTAATGAGATCATTCACAATCAAATTCCTTCTACCTCCTTCCCTCAAGGTTAAAAAAAAAAAAGCTTGCAATAAACGCATGACCAAATTGTAAAATTAGATGGCAACAGGTGAGAAAATGATTATGTGGAGGCTCCCGGGGCTTTGGGGCTGAATGTAGGAGGTAACAGACAATCGAGGCTAATCTGGCACAGCCAGTAGGTCGGGTGTGCAGAGAGGGCACTGCAGACCCTCATCTGTGGATGCCGCCTCGCACTGGCTGGACAGTCTGTGCCAGGTAACAGCCTCAGAGAGTGGACAGCTGAGAAGGACAGGATGGTTTTGACACCGTGATGGGACCAAGTGCATTTCCAGTTGAAATACTCAAGACAGAAGAAAGAACCTGAACCAACTTTTCCCATCAAAATCACTGTGTTTAAACATGGGGGTAAAACCATAGGAGCTCAATGGTAATAAAACTCTGAGAGGCGCTCCCAGGCCACCCTCGCTTTATGCCTTAAAAGAGATTTCCAGTTTACACTGTCTATAGAAGAGTTTGCTTTTTGTAAGTGACTAAGTTTCTGTTAAACACCCATTCTCCTGATTCTCATTGTCCTTAGCTGTAACTTGGAAAAATACAGTTGTTTCCTTGTGGAGCTATGGTGAGGCTTGAAAATAAAGTGTGAAACTTCCCAGCAAAAGGCATGGCACTTAGTAGATTCTCAGTAAAGAACTCTTGCTGCTATTCTCGTAAGTTTGGAGGACTTCCTCCGAGATATTGCTGTAGTTATTACACACGAATCACCAAAGTCCACTTGCTAAATACTTTGGTATAGATTTATGCCATAGGCACAGCTACGGCAAGTGCTGGCATCACCATTTTCACCGTCTTCAAAGTTGATTACAGGCAAGACGCTGTGGCTCATGCCTGCAATCCCAGTGCTTTGGGAGGCCAAGGCAGGAGGAGTGGTTGAGGCCGAGTTCGAGACCAGCCTGGGCAACATAGTGAGATCACATCTCTACAAAAATAAAAATTTAGCTGGGAGTGGCACATACTGACAGTCCCAGCTACTCGAAAGGTTGAGGTGGGAGGATTGCTTGTGCCCAGGAGTTTGAGTCTACGGTGAGCTATGATCGTGTCACTGCACTCCAGCCTGGGTGACATAGCGAGATCCTGTCTCTTAAAAGAAAAAGTTGTTGATTGACTCAGGAACAGTGGGAAAGAAAACACGGGGTCTCCTGCTGCCCTCTGATTTGCCTATTGAGTGGCTCTGGGAAAGGACACAGAAAAGCAAAGCCAAGTGTGCTAACTTCCCCAAAATAACCTGGGCCCTTCAGCCTCAGAGGGGGCTGCAATTTCTGAACCATCCAAATGGAATTGTGAAATACATGAGTCTGACATCGAGTGCTTTCAATCTCCTTATCTGTATCTCTTTCTTTCTTCTCTCATCTAAGTTGTTGGCCCCCATTCTATTCCATTTTTCCTATTAAAACTTGATCTCGGGAAAATAAAAATTGATTACCAGTCACTTTAAGGTAGGGGACATTGGTCTCTATAAATACATAATTCGTCATCAATTATTCATTACCAAGAAGATGGCAGGGGTGTTTAGAAAGGCAGTGATCTTCTTTGCCCCTGAAATCACCCCACAGGACAACTCTGCCCTTCCCTTTATTTATCCTAAAAGCTGAGATGATTGATATTCAGGGCTCCACTCAGGAAGCCCCGATCCCCGGAGCCCTCATGTTTGAGAAGGCCTTAGCCGTGATCCAGGGAATTCCAAAATGCCACCATAGCAGAGATAAAGTGTAGACGGTCCCCATTATGATGGTCTGACACAATTTTTCAACTTTACCATAGATTTATTGGTAAATTTATTTTAAATGCATTTTCAACTTATGATATTTTTGACTTATAGTATTTTTGACTGAACTACCAGGGCGCTATCAGGACATAACCCCATTATAAGTTGAAGAGTATCTATAATCAATGAGGCTTCCAAGATTCTGCCTCCAGGACAGACAAGTGGGTAGGAAGCGTTGAGGACCACTGTTAACTGACTTGTACCTCACACATCTCAGAGTCTCCGCACAAAGACATTCTGATTGGTCTTTCAACATCATGACTATGAAGTTCACCAGAGAGTGACCCTCCAGAATTATGGCATTACAATGACTGTCCGTGTTAGTGGAGGTGGAAGTTCATAATACAATCTCAAAAAGCAGAGACACATAGTTGAAAAGTCCTAAAATAATACCCTGGATTAGTCACCTCTCAGACACCGCCTCGTATTCTCTTGGTTACCCATGTATCTGAAACCCTGGCTGTGAGCTTGGCTTCAGCTGCAGAGCCTGTCACCTCACATATACACAATGACTCTGTTTTGCCCATTCCCATGCCTTTTCTTTTAAGCCCTGGAGCTTCCTTGTTACTGCTGAGATGCCATGGAATGTGCTTGGCATCTGTATTTATGCAAAGCATAGGATCAGGGAGTTAGGACCCATGAGGCAAACTTGACCAACGGGCCGCAGAATCCAGCAGCGAAATACTTCTCCCTTCTTCCCTCCTCCTGAATGGACTGTCCTGAGACACTGTCACTTATGTAGCCTTTTGGAAGACATCACGCTGACCCTGGGCAATCAATGCCCTTGGTATACAGTGGCGCCCATCTAAGTAACGCATTTTCTTGAATCTTTACTCTTCTTACTTACTCTCTTTTTCTCATGTTTCTTTGCTTTTTCTGTATACTTTGCTATATAGTCTGAATGTTGGTATCCTCCTCAAAATTACTATGTTGAAATCCTAACCCCAAAAGTGTGGTATTATGAGGTGGGGCTTCTTGGGAGGTGAGGAGGTCATGAGGGGTCTGTTCTCATGGGATTCATGTCCTTATAAAATCGGCCCAAGGGAGCTTGTTCACCTCTTCTACCATGTGAGAGCACAGCTAAAAGATGCCATCTGTGAACAAGGAAGTGGGCCCCACCAGACACCCAATCCGCCAGCACCTTGCCTAGACTTCCCAGCCTCCAGAACGGGGAGGAGTACACTTCCGTTGTTTACAAGCTACCCCGTTTATGGTACTTTGTTATTGTAGCCCAAGTGAACTAAGACACTCCTCAGAAACCATATTCACACATGAGTTTTGCCTCAGGCTCAGTTTATAGGAACTCGGGCTAAGATAAACATTCCTGCAGAGCAGAGTCAGAATTTTGCATTGCTGTAATGAACAGTGCTTTCTCAGGACAGGCGGAGGCTTCCCGTCTTGAGGCTTGAAGTCTAGTCTGCCATGTCCCCAAATCCACCCAAGATTGATGCTTCTAACCCAGGGTACAAACACCTTCTATGGTTGCCCTAGCAAAGCCCCAGGAGCTAGGATTATACTCTCAGAGCTTCCTGTGTGTTTTCAGGAAAATTCACGAGGAATCCCAATCTGCAGAAACAATTTATTTTGCCAAAATCTTCCAATGTGGGTCCATCCATTTTCTCTAACCTAGAGGACAGAAAGTCTCTCATTCTGAGTAGAAGAGGCCTGATTTAGATGTTCCTCCAGATCCAGGGAAGCCGGACTTTCTTCCAAGAAAGGTGGAAGAAGAAGACGACTAACCACTGTGCTTAACCTTCTGTGTCCTTGGTACTTCTGCTTACTCTGAGAAGAAGCCTTATCCCATGGCATACAGGTATCCACCACTCAGAGAGTCTTCACTTCCGTTATCCACACCTCCAGAAATTTACAACAGAGCAAGGGAAAGCAGGAGAGGGGCATTGAAATGAGCAGAGACAGAGGAATATTGTCGGAGAGTTTTCAGAGGTGAAGACTTGAAAGGCTTATACTTGAAGTTTGCAAATCCCTGAAAATTATGATTAATTTGGAAAATCAAGGACTGTTTATTTCTTTTACCAAATTTCAGACTATCAGATGCACAGAGTAATCTCTGAGTTTACAAAGAACGTAGTTTGGGGCAAATAAGAGTGAGTCCTCTTGCATTAAAATGAGTCCACTGATTTCTATTTTTTAAAAATTCTAGGATGTGGTAGGAATTCAAACAACGAAGCTCAAGAAAGGTAAAACTGCAATGAAAAATAACAGGCCCTTAGCTGGCCCTTAAAAGATGTAAGAGATCTTGGGGGTTGGGGCAGCCCAGGGAAGTGCCATGGGTGCAGGTCTTTGGGCCTGGACAGAAGCTGCTCCCCTCTGGGGTCAGCTGCGGCAGAGGGTCATCAACTCTCAGTCCTTACAGATGGGACTTCCTGAGCAAGTCCTGCCCTGGTTTACTCCATTCTCCTGGAGGCTGCCGGAAGCAGGAATCTTGTTTCCAGAGCACCAGGGTGCAGGTTTGGAACAACTGGGTACTTGCTATTGGAATTCCTGAAAACTGGCAGTAAATGAATGTTAGGAATGAATACAGAATACTTGGCATTTCACATATTTTTAAACATTGTTTACCAGTTTCTTTCCTCCTTGCCAATTGTCCGAGTTGCCAAACAGCTCTTAAGGTTTGGCCTGCCCCCACCTCTCAAACGATGACCATGGCTCACGGAAAACATTGTCTGGATCCGAACCAGCCGACCGTCTGTGTTTCCTTAAATAACCAGGTTTTATTCCACACCTGCGTCAAGCATGCAAGGAAAGGGTGGCCTTAGGACACGGGTTTGGCTTTGACAGCTGAGAGGCCAAAACAGCAAGAGCTAACCCAGAGCTCCACTGACCCGCTTCCCTGATCCCTCTTCATAGCGAGCATTGCCAATCGGTCCAAAGCCTTCTTCTCATTGGGCAGGAACAAAACCTCACAATCCTCAATGCAGCTCTCTAAGAATGGCACGTTTAGAGTGGGCACCAAAATGAAACTCTGATTATAGCTTAATGTGGGTCCGGGGTGGGAAGACCAGTGCCTTACACCAATTGCTAAATTCTTTGACGGAGCAGGGTAGATCTTTCCAAACAGACAACTGGTTGCCCTTCAGATACCTTGCAACTCCATTATTGGCTGGTACCAGAAATTTTGTCATAAGAACATCTACTCCAAGAGTGCATAGCCTTGGTCCTTGTAGGGCAGAAACTTGGAAGTCCTGTATGTGTGTTTATTCACATAATTCTCACAACCTGCTATCATCCACGTTTTATTTTATTATTTTACTTTATTTTGAGACTGAGTCTTGCTCTGTCACCCAGGCTGGAGTGTAGTGGCATGATCTCAGCTCATTGCAATCTCTACCTCCTGGGTTGAAGTGATTCTCCCACTTCAGCCTCCTGAGTAGCTGGGATTACAGGCGCCTATCACCATGGCTGGCTAAATTTTTTTTGTGGTTTTAGTAGAGACAGGGTTTCACTATGTTGGCCAGGCTGGTCTCAAACTCCTGACCTCAAGTGATCCACCCACCTCAGCTTCCCAAAAAGCTAGAATTACAGGCATGAGCCACAACACCCAGCCTATACTCCACAGTTTACAGATAGAAACATCGAAGCTCAGAATGAATTGCCTTAGGCCATACAGCGAGTAAGTGACAGAGCCAGGATGAACAAAACTAGGTTACTGCACCCCCAAGAGGCTTGCTTTCTTCACTGTATCCCACGGCCTCTAAGGGTGAAGATTTGATAAGGAGCCAGGGGAAGAGAGCCTGGGAGGCGGCAGGAATTAAGTTCCTTCTTTTAGAGAGAAGAGGCCCACGGGAAGCCTGCAAAGATAAATCATCCAGATTCCACAGTCCTGCCAAGGAGTGGACTTGGGTGAAAACAAGAGAACGTCAGAGTAGAAGCTGACGTTTCCACAAGAATCAAGGTACTTGTGGCTCACAGGATTCAGCAAACTCCTTTTTTGTCAGCCAAGAAGAGAAGCAGGTAGCAAATATCTGCCATGTGATATTTTGGCCCATAGCCAAAAACGTACAAGAAATTCAGAAAAGTCATAAATATAAGGATAAATTTGCAGATCCCACTGCACAAAAAAATTCCAGAAATGGCAATATACTTCATGTCTTTGTTTCTTCAGGATGGATTATTCCAGCAGCTTTCAAATGTCTCCACAGCTGAACATTTTTCACTAAGAAAACCATCACCGGGAAATGTAAGTTTCTCTTATATTTGGTTTTCAAGTTTTTCTTCCGCAAAAATCAGAGAAAGCAGCTGAATGACAGCAGACAGGGACTTACTAATCCATTATGTTCTGTTCAGCTCCTGGTAAAACTGACTGAGGCGTCCAAACGTTGCCTCTGAAACTTCTGGCAATTTAAGACAGGCACCTTGGGCCATTTCTCCCAGCATTTCTTCTTTGACTGTTGATTCTCTTTTCTATGTAACTGTCCATTTTCTCCCCGACAGTCACCTTTCCTTCTGGTGGGGGTAACAGTCCCCTCTTCACATTTCTCTGTGCTGATCTGCAAGGAACAGTTTTAAAGCTTGTTGTCCCTGTCCAAGGTGCATTCTGACAGTCTGAAAACATTTTTGCCTGCTTGCCGAGGTTGCAGGGGATGACGGAATTAAAGCCTCTCAAGTTCCCTGTCTCTGTCTACAGGCACTCCCATTGTCTGCTTCTCATCCACTGTCTGGAACAGACAGGAGTAGTGAGTCCTTGTGAACTGACAGCCAAATTAACTTCCATGTGGAATACACTGTTTACTAAAGGATAAACAGTAAAAACGTGCTAATTGAAGCGGAAAAGCCATACCATTAAACTCGGCAGTAACCACAATTGTTTAGAACTTAGACCAGCAAAAGATGACGGGAGAGGAGTACTGTGTCACTGACGTTATTTAGAATTGCCAACCAGTGGAGCAGTGTTTAGAGGGTTTTATTAGTGTTGTTAAATTCTCTGCAGATAATGTCCCCCATCATTGCCTGCACCAGGGCAGACTGGGTCCACTGCCTTCCCTGCTAGACCAGAGCCTAATCTACTGCAGCCTTCAACCACAGCATTCACTGGCCTCCCGTGCACAGCCTAGGTCTCAGGAACATCCAACCCGTCTGCTGTCATAACTTCTGACTGTCGTAAAAATTCTTACTGATTTCATTACTGACTGGATTGAATAGATTTAAAACTGGAAAGTTCACAGGCTTTTTTTTTTTCTCCTGCTCAAGCGACAGCTTCTTTAGCTAGGAAGGAACCCACCAATAACACACCCCTCTTGTCTCTCAAGCCCAGCTCTTTTTTTTTTTTTTGAGACGGAGTCTCCCTCTGTTGCCCAGGCTGGAGTGCAGTGGTGTGATCTCTGCTCACTGCAACCTCCTCCTCCCAAGCTCAAGCGATTCTCCTGCCTTAGCCTCCTGAGTGAGTAGCTGGGATTACAGGCACCCACCACCACGCCCAGCTAATTTTTTTTTCTTTGTATATTTAGTAGAGATGGGGCTTAACCACGTTGGCCATGACCTCGTGATCTGCCCACCTCGGCCTCCCAAAGTTCTGGGATTACAGGTGTGAGCCACCACGGCCGGCCTCAAACCCAGCTCTTGCTGGGGAAGAAGAGGGTTCTTTCCTGTGCTTTCCTCTGGCTTCCTGTGTACTCTTATCCCTGGCATCTGGGAAGTAGAGTCCTTGTCCCCTTTCAGCTGCTAATTAGCTTTGGGATGCTTGCAAAAATGACTTTCCTTCGGCTTCCTCATTAAAAACTAACAAGGCAGGCATTATGGTTCATGCCTGTTATCCCAGCACTTGTGGGAGGCCGAGGCAGGCAGATCACCTGGGTTAGGAGTTCGAGACCAGTCTGGCCAACATGGAGAAACCCCGTTTCTACTAAAAATACAAAAATTAACTGGCACAGTGGTGGGCACCTGTAATTCCAGCTACTCAGGAGGCTGAGGTGAGAGAATCGCTTGAACCCAGGAGGCAGAGGTTGCAGTGAACCGAGATCACACCACTGCACTCCACCTCAAAAACAAACAAAAACAAGCAAACAGGCAAACATTTAACTGAGTGACTTCTCAGGTCCCTTCAGGGTGGGGCTAGGAGGTCAGATGGCCTTGGCAGGGCCATCCTGGGCTGCTGCAGATGGTATCAAGGAAGTGAAAGTCCAGCTCCTGAAACAGCTGTGCCTTGTTTAGGCATGGCCGCAGGCCATTCCTTGTCCCCATCTGGGGGCCACTGCTGACTTTTAAGCTGGTCATGTTTCCTTGTTTGGCATCCTCAGAACCATTAGGCCCTGGAGACTTCCAGATGTCTTTAACAATCAGAGCCGGATTTCCTAGGCAATGCCCGCCCTATGCAAACATTCTGATTTGTTACGGCACTGCCCTCAGAATGTGCAGGAATGAGTTCTAAAGGACAATGCCGGCTGGGCCCGGGGCCATGCTTTCATTCCACACACTCCCTCACACCATCTCACTCCAACCTGTGACACAGGATGGGGCAGCATCGTTATTCCCATTTTAGAGACTGGGAAGCTGAGATGCCAAAGCCTGGAATGAACCACCCAAGGCGATGCGGCAGCCCTTTGGGGCAGAACTGGGACTAGAACACCCTCACCCCCCACTTCTTACTCACTTACCCACCCCAGCTCCAGCTAGCTGAGCTCAGGCTTGGCCCCGGCGCAGCAATCCTGGTTACACAACTGATAGCGGGCATGTACTCAGAGAGTATAAATAGACCCAGTGCCTTGCCGCTGAAAATTTATGATTCAAAAATCACAAGGTTTTACATTGAGTAACCAGATGTCTTTAGAAATATGGCAAAGGAGTAATAGCATGGAAACAGCTCGTTTCTGTGACTTTGTTTATTTGCGTGTTTTTAATTTGTCACCTGTGTCTGGCAACAACGCTTGTAGAAAGCTGTCCTAAAAAAAGCTATTCACCAGGGATGACACATTGGTGGCACGTGCCCTGAAGAGTCCCTGGGGATGTCTGTGGCATGTTTCAACTCCATCACAGCTCTGCCCACTTAGCCCGGATGAGCCTCAGAATCTTCCCTAATCCAGCACTCTGCCCAGACACGTATCTGACAGAGAATTTCAGCTTGTGGGCCAAATTTGATTTGCTGTCCCTGCTACACATTTCAGGCTCCTTATTCCAGGGAATGTGAAATTCAGGTTGTTTGCCCTTTCGGGGAGCTGCAGCTTGGTGACCTTACTCTTCTCTCCATTCATGCCCCCACCTCACCCCCCAAACAAGGGCTAGGGGCAACGAGCTGCAAGGAAGTGCCCAGTGTGGCTGGAAACAAGTTACACCCCTGAGGTCCGTCAAACCTTGGCAGAAGCGGCAGCAGTTGACTGTGAAAATTATTTCATTGGTAAGGCACTCCTTCCTGAATCCCTCTTAGGATTCCTGGGCAGAGATTCTTTGTGAATCCCCCTCCCCCAGTGAAAGATCCTCACATGGCTCATCACCTTGAGAACTGCAGCTGTCTTGAAGATCCTTCCTGTGTCTGGGACGACTGAGTCTTGAAGGTGGAGTCAAGTTACTTGGAAATGATGCATGGGGACATTTCAGCTGGGGTGAGTGGTGAGGGAGGAACCCTGAGCACCAGCCATGCTCTTTATCCCTCCTACAATGTCCATGTCCCCTATCTTAAGTTAGTCCTCCTTAAAGGTCAACATGGGGTAAGTCTGGGATTAGGACCGGAAAGGAGCCACGAGCCCTGTGCTGGGCTGAGTTGCATTCCCCCAAAATTCCCTGTCCACCCAGAACCTCAGAATACAGTCTTATTTGGAAACAGGGTCTTTGTGGATATAATTAAGAGTGGAGATAAGATCACACTGGAGTCGAGTGGGCCCTGGATCCAATGACAGTGTCCTTATAAGAGACACGGAAAAGAAGGCTGTGTGGCAATAGAGGCACAGACTGGAGGGACGCAGCTCCAAGCCCAGGCGCACCACAGAAGAGGCTGGGGGAGATTCTCCCCTAAGACCTTTAGAAGGAGCGTGACTCTGCCAACACCTTAATATTGGATGTCTGACCTCCAGGACTCTGAGACGTACATTTCTGTTATTTCAAGCTACCCAGTTTGTGGTCATCATTTCTGGCAGCCTTAGCAAACTAATACCCTGTCCAAATAATACACCTGCTCCCAAGTCTTCACTCAGGTCCTGCTCTTGGGAGACAGGAAACCCAATCCAAGACATAGGTATAAGTACCCTCATATTACAGAGGAAGAAACTGAGGCACGGCTTCACCCACAAAGCAGCTGTAGGACCCAAGCACCCAGCAGCTACGTTGTCGCTCAAATGAGGCTGAGCCCATTCTCTAAACTGTCTGCTGTGGTGCATCAGTGACCCTGAATGTAAACGGAAGGCCCATGGCAGCTTTGTCAGCTCAGCAGCCAAGCAAATGACCCAAGAAAAATGGGGGCAGCCATAGGCCACTTGGTGCTGGAAATGGGCTCATAAAAACATAAAATTACCAGACCCTTTTTGTAAGAATGGTTGCAGTGAGAAAGCCCATGGGGCGGGGTGGGGGCGGGGACTAATCTCTTTCTTTCCACCTTGGGGAAGCTGACCTCCAACAGGCTCAGTCACCAGGTACTTTATGTCACATGCATGGCCATGGGTGGGAGGATTCAGTTCATCAGGGCATTTTGCCTGAGAAAATGACTTTAACAATTAATAGATAGGGAAAAAACCACAAAGGGACTTTTTCCCATTGTTTGATATATTTTTCAACATAATACTTCTTACTAATTTTTGAGAGCTTCTGAATACAACCTATATTTCATCTTCAGGGAGAAAAATCCTCAAATCTTCTTGCCTTTTCCTTAATTTGTAATTATTACTGAAAATAATAGAAAAGCATTAGCAACTGGGCCAGGCGCAGTGGCTCACACCTGTAATCCCAGCACTCTTAGAGGCTGAAATGGGCAGATCATGAGATCAAGAGATCGAGACCATCCTGGACAACAAGGTGAAATGCAGTCTTTACTAAAAATACAAAAATTAGCTGGGCATGGTGGTGTGCACCTGTAGTCTCAACTACTTGGGAGGTTGAGGCAGCAGAATCGCTTGAACTGGGGAGGCAGAGGTTGCAGTGAGCTGAGATTGTACCACTGCACTCCAGCCTGGCGACAGAGCGAGACTTCATCTTAAAAGAAAAAGAAAAAAAGAAAAGCATTAGTAACCCATGTTGTATGTTTACATAGACTTAAATTACTAGCTGATCAATAGTTCTTTACCCTCTTTGGTAAAGAAAAATACCTTTTCTGGCCAGAGTGGCTCACGCCTGTAATTCCAGCACTTTATGATCTGGCAGGCAGATCACCTGAGGTCAGGAGTTCAAAACCAGCCTGGCCAACATGATGAAACACCATCTCTACTAAAAATACAAAATTAGCCAGGTGTAGTGGCGGATGCCTATAATTTTATCTACTTGTGAGGCCGAGGCAGGGGAATCCCTTGAACCTGGGAGGCAGATGTTGCAGTGAGCAGAGATCATGCCACTGCACTCCAGCCTGGGCAACAAGAGTGAAACTCCATCTCAAAAAAGAACAAAAGAAAAGAAAAATACCTTTCCCAATTAGCAAGTGTCCTTGTTGATGATGGTTTCAATCTCCATGGCATTGTTTACTCCCGTTTGGTGGCCAGGGAAGAAGCCATTTTCAGAGGACTGAGAGATTCTAGGCACAGCAATCACCTAGTCCCCCTGGGTGGCATTTGGGAAGATGTGGAATGGTGTGATCCACAGGAGCGAGCTGAGCAGGTGGCTGGCCAGAGCATCTGACACGAGTGTCTGTTCCCCCATCTTCTCTGGGACAAAGCCCACTTGTGCCTCGTGCATTTGCCTCTTGGTTCCTAGTCTTAGGAACCACTCAGAGGCGCTGCGGAGCTGAGGAATGTCTGCACAGGATGCCGTGGGAGCCGTTCAACCTGCAGAGGATAAAATGCAGATGGTGGAAGGTGGTCTCTGAGTTGGAAGAGAAAGTGCTGAGGCCTCCAGGTGCAGGTTTTGAAAAAAGGCAGTATATTCATATTTCATGCCATGACACACAAAGGATCAGCTGACCCGGGTAGGTTGAAGTCTTGTGACTGCCTGGTAGGCTCTACTCCCCATCTCATAAACAGAAGGTGCTAAACAGAGACACAGAACCTGGCTCAGCTGCTGCTACCAGCTAAAAAATGTGTTCTAGATCCCTGAGACCACATCTGCCCCGCAGGCACAGAGCCTCACCCCTCGCTACTCCACCGCCCATCCACACTCACCATGGATGATGATATCATCACGCTCATCATCAAAAATGGTTCTGGCATGTGCAAGGCCAGCTTGGTGGGCGACAATGCTCTCCGAGCTGTCTTCCCCTCCATGGTGGGGTGCCCAGGCACTAGCGTATGATGGTGGGCATGGGTCAGAAGGACTCCTAAATGGGCAACAAGGGCCCAGAGCAAGAGGGGCTTCCTGACCCTGAAGGACCCCATCGAGCACAGCAACATCACCAACTGGGAGGACATGGAGAAGATCTGGCATCACACCTTCTACAACGAGCTGCGTGTGGCTCCTGAGGAGCACCCCGTACTGATGACTGAGGCCCCCCTGAACCCCGAAGCCAACCATGAAAAGGTGGACCATGTTTGAGACCTTAAACACCCCAGCCATGTATGTGGCCATCCAGGCTGTGCTGTCTCTGTACGCCTCTGGCCGTGTCACTGGCATCCTGATGGATTCTGGTGACAGGGTCACCCACACTGTGCCCATCTACAAGGGGTATGCCCTCCCCCACGCCAACCTACGTTTGCACCTGCCTGGCTGGGACCTGACTGACTACCTCATGAATATCCTCACTGAGCGTGGCTACAGCTTCACCAACATGGCCAACTGGAAAATCGTGCATGACATCAAGGAGAAGCTGTGCTATGTTGCCCTGGACTTTATTTATTTATTTGAGACAGAGTTTCACTCTTGATACCCAGGCTGGAGTGCAATGGCGCAATCTTGGCTCACTGCAACCTCCACCTCCTGGGTTCAGGCAATTCTCCTGCCTCAGCCTCCTGAGTAGCTGGGATTACAGGTATGTGCCACTATGCCCAGCTAATTTTTTGTATATTTAGTAGAGACGGGGTTTCACCATGTTGAACAGGATGGTCTCGATCTCTTGACCTCGTGATCCACCCGTCTCGGCCTCCCAAAGTGCTGGGATTACAGGCTGGAGCCACTGCACCCGGCCTTTGCCCTGGACTTTAAGCAGGAGATGGCCACGGTAGCCTCCACCTCCTCCCTGGAGAAGAGCTGTGAGCTGCCAGACGGCCAGGTCATCACCGTCGGCAACGAGCGGTCCCGCTGGCTCAAGGCACTCTTCCAGCCTTCCTTCCTGGGCGTAGAATCCTGTGGCATCCATGAACCTACCTTCAACTCCATCAGGAAGTGTGATGTGGACATCTGCAAAGACCTGAACGCCAATACAGTACTGCCTGGTGGTACCACCATGTACTCTGGCATTACCGACAGGATGCAGAAGGAGATCACTGCCCCTGCGCCCAGCATGATAAATATCAAGATAATTGCTCCTCCCAAGCACAGGTACTCCGTGTGGATTGGCGGCTCCATCCTGGCCTTGCTGTTCACCTTCCAGCAGATGTGGATCAGCAAGCAGGAGAATGATGAGTCCAGCCCCTCCAGTGTCCACCACAAATGCCTCTAGGTGGACTGTGACTTGCGTCACACCCTTTCTTGACAAACTTGAGCAGAAAACAAGATGAGATTGGCACGGCATTGGTTTTTTTTTGCGGGGGGTGTTGGGGGTTTTGTTTTTGTTGTTGTTGTTTCTGTTTTGGCTTGACTCGGGATTTAAAAACTGAAATGGTGAAGGCGACAGCAGTCGGTTGGAGCGAGCATCCCCCAAAGTTCTACAGTATGGCCAAGGACTTTGATTGTACATTGTTCTTTTTTTTTTAATGATCATTCCAAATATCATGAGATGCATTGTTATAGGAAGTACCTTGCCCTCCTAAAAGCCACCCCACTTCTCTCTGAGGAGAATGGCCCAGTCCTCTCCTGAGTCCACACAGGGAAGGTGATAACATTGCTTCATGTAAATTACGTAATGCAAAAATTTTTTAATCTTTGCCTCAATACTTCTTTATTTTGAATGATCGACCTTTGTGGCTACCCCATTTTTGTTCCCCAACTTGAGATGTATGAAGGCTTTTGGTCTCCCTGGGAGTGGGTGGAGGCTGCCAGGGCTTACTTGTACACTGACTGGAGACCAGTTGAATAAAAGTGCATACCATAAAAAAATAAATACATTTAAAAAATAAAATGGGTTCTAAGAAGTTCCATTTTGTATTCTCATGACATGCATCACACTTACACTTTATTTTCATGATTCCAGAACCGTATTTTGATCAACTAGAGCGATGTATGGAATGCATTGGAAATAGAGGTTAACTCGTTCCCTGGGTATCACATTTCCCAGGATACTGTGTGGAAACTCAGTCACCCCAGAAAGATGGTCCATTCCCAAATCAGAAGAGCCCCGTGGAGCTGCCTGGGAAAAGGCCATATGCAGGGTGGGACACCGGGCAGGAGCACCGGGGAGGGGAGCATTACTCAGTCTGGGTTTAGATCTGTTCTAGGTAGTTAGATGGGCCTCAGCAGGCAGGAGAGGGCTCTCCCCCAACCCACTAGGAATATCAAGTGATGGTTCAGCAATTATCACATTGCTGCTCTAAAAATGGTAATTGCGTAGCCAGGGACAATCTCTGGATGGTCCATACCTGTTAGCATTAAAAATGTTAATGGCCAAAACCCGGGGTCAAACCAGGGACCTTTAGATCTTCAGTCTAACACTCTCCCGAGGTGGGTGAATCATGAGGTCAAGAGATCGAGACCATCCTGGCCAACATGGTGAAACCCCATCTCTACTAAAAATACAAAAATTAGCTGCATGTCAAGGCATGTGCCTGTAGTCCCAGCTACTCAGAAGGCAGAGGCAGGACAATTGCTTGAACCCAGGAGGTGAAGGTCGCAGTGAGCAGAGATCACGTCATTGCAATCCACCCTGGCGACAGAGCAAGACTGTCTCAAAAAAAAAAAAAGAAAAGAAAAGAAGTGTTAATTGGATGCAGACCCCAGGGAGCAGCAGCTTTTTGGGCATGCATGTTAAGCGACAAAATGGCGAAGTATGATGCTGGGGGCTCGGGGGCAAACGCCACCAGAGAAAGGAAAAAGCCTCAGGTGGGCAGGCATGTAACGCCCTAAACACACTGCACCTGCTTAGTTCCAAAGGGTAAGGAAGCACTGCACATGTGGAAAGCGCACCGTAGGGGAAAATCATGGGAAAGAGGCAAGCCTGAGGTTAAAGGGGCTCTTTTTCCCTCTTTGATGTTCAGGCACTCACTTGGGTCTCCTCCAAGGGTCCTTCCTTTTCTTTTCTGCTCTAAAAGCTTTCTCATAAACTTCTGTTCCTGCTCTGAAACTTGCCTGTGTCTCTTTTTCTGCTTTTTGGCCCTCAGTTGAACTCTTTCTTCTGAGGAGGCAAAGACTGAAGTTGCTGTGGACCCATATGGATACCCTGCGGGTAACTTGGGGTAACTCGGATCTCTTCCACCATTAACAGATCCAGCCCTTCTACTGAACCAGCTCTCAGCTGAGACACATCCCTAGTTAGCTCACCCCTGTGATGGGCAGGCTGCGTTCTGTGATCACCCAGGTCTCAGCTGAGACACATCCCTAGTTAGCTCACCCCTGTGATGGGCAGGCTGCGTTCTGTGATCACCCAGGTCTCAGCTGAGACACATCCCTAGTTAGCTCACCCCCGTGATGGGCGGACTGTGTTCTGTGATCATTCAGCTCTCAGCTGACACATATCCCTAGGTAGCTTACCGTCTTGATGGGCAGGCTGTGTTCTGTGATCATTCAGCTCTCAGCTGAGACACATCCCTAGTTAGCTCACCCCTGTGATGCGCGGGCTGTGTTCTGTGATCACCCAGGTTTCATCTATTCCTAATGTTTCCCAATCCTGTTACCTTCTGATCACTGGGCATTTGCCCAGTGGTTCACTTGGATGGTTCAAAACTGTTCTTAGCTCTTAAAAGCTGGTAAATTAAAAAGAAGAGAACTTACAAATGGCCAGCCTCTTCTGCCCTGAATAGTAAGCTTGTAAAACAGCCCCTTTCCCTGAGGATAGAGAACAAGGATCAGTTAGAAATAAGGGCTAGCCATTCAGTTTGGGAGAGGACTGAAAAGCACCTGCAGGAAGGCTGTTGAACAAGATGAGGCCCTGTGGATTTCCCCTCCATTAATTTTTCACAAACTTATAGAATAATAATCGTGTTGTCTAATATATGACCATGTCACCTGCAACTGGAAAGGGGCGGGAGAGAAAATGACTACCCTCAGTAGTATTCCAATTATGCTATGATAATAGTTTAAATTTTGTTGAGTAAATAATTATCTCTGTGGGTTTAACAAAAAACAACACAAAACACAGCACAACACCCATTAGTCACCTGAGGTAAAGCTGAAATATATATTTAACAGATGCGCTTCTTATTCAGTGCCCTGATTCAGAGCAAGACATGAGCGATTCATACCTCCAGGGGGTAAATTACTAGCTCTTTTGGTAAACTGGGTTGTTTTCATTTCCTGTTATATTCTTCGTCTTCAGTTTTTAATTTATTTTGAACCAAAGGCAAGAACAAAGTGGGGTACGTGGGTCTCTCATCATGATCTATGCGAGAATTTGGCAAGTGTCGGGTGGTGGGGGTTTGTGCAGGGCTGGGTTCAGAAGGAAACAGGGTTCATGAATGTTGCTTGGAAGAAGTAGGGAGGCAGCCGCCAGAGCTTTGGACACACTGATTTATCCTGAAAAGCAGCAGCTAGGAAGCGCCCTTCTAATGTGTGCCGGGTCAAAAGCAAAGGCTGTGGGGACAGTATTAGGAGATAAAATCCAGAGATAAAATTGAGAGGTGAGCGATATTTTCCCTATTGATTCTAAGAAGTCAAATCAAAGCCTTACGTGTGTGGCTGGCATCAATTTCACCGTCTACTTGCCCAGTGAGGACAGTTTCTCTCTCTCTCTCTTACTTTCTTTTTAAAAAAATCTTTATCCTTTTTGGGGTGGGACAGGGTCTTACTCTGTTGCCCAGGCTGAGTGCAGTGGCAAGATCATGACTCACTGCAGCCTTCACCTGCCAGGCTCAAGCGATCCTCCCACCTTAGCCTCCCAACTAGCTGGGACCACAGGTGTGCACCACCACACCCAACTAAATTTTTAATTTTTTTGTAGAGAGGGGTTCTTGCTATGTTGCCCAAGCTGGTCTCAAACTCCTGGATTCAAGAGCTCCTTCCACCTCGGCCTCCCAAAATGTTGGGATTACAGGTGTGAGCCACTGTGCCAGACAACCGTTCTAACTAGATAACAAAGGAATGGGGTACTTCCAGGGTGCTGGCCCCTTATATAGGCTTTCCTATCATGGAGTCTCTCTTGGCTCATGACAACATCTGGATTCTCTTGCCTATGTGGTACAGGTTTAGGCAACTGAAATTGCCTTGGGCAAGAAATGAAGGTGAGCATGAGGACACCACTCCATAAAGAACCCTTTTGTCTTGGTTGGCTGCTAAGTTAGTCTAGTTCCTCATGGGAGAAGAAGGAAAAGTATGTAGATTTGGGGCTTCCTTCAGCTTTATTGGCCGAGCCATCTTGCTCTGGCTTGAATCTCCTGGGGGTGCTGTGAATTGATTGCTGAGGGTCTGCTGTGAGTGTTGGCTGCTAGGGGCTTAGAGCTGCTCCATTAAACTGTCCAGCATAGGTGGGTATGTGCCTGGGGGGCTTACTCCTGAAACGTGAACCACCTGTTCCTGCAGGCAGCAGTGTGTGAGCAGAGGATAACTTTTGCTTGGGTACAATGATGACACAAAAGACCATCCCCTTGTGTCAAGATGGGATAACTACTAGGTGCATTCCGTGTACTGGAGCTCCCTGTGGGACTCGGCTGGAGCCAGTCTCCACTAAGGACCACATCCTTCACTTGCTTCCCTTGCCCTATGCTGTTCCCTCACTCCTTCACAGGGCAATGCTCCCCTAGTCAATTAGGTTCACAAGAATCCTCCTCTTAGCTCTGGTTCTAGGAAACTGACCTAGGACAGTCATATAGTTTGGCTCTGGTCCCATCCAATCTCATCTCGAATTATAATCCCCATGTGTTGAGGGAGGGACCTGGTGGGAGGCGATTGGATTATGGGGACAGTTTCCCCCATGCTGTTCTCGTGATAGTGAATGAGTTCTTACGAGATCTGATGGTTTTATAAATGGCAGTTCCCCTGGGCTCGTCTCTCTCACCTGCCTCCATGTAAGACATGCCTGCTTCCCCTTCTGCCATGATTGTAAGTTTCCTGAGGCCTCTTCAGCCATACAGAATTGTGAGTAAATTATAACTTTCCTTGATAAATTACTCAGTCTCAGGGAAGTTCTTTACAGCATGTGAAAACAGACTAATACAGGATGCTTGTGGGAAGGCAAGATTCGTTGACTCCACAAGAAGAATTCAATAGGCCTGAGTGAGGCTTTGGAGGCTGCAGTTTTATTAAGCACACAGGTGATTCTGATGAAAATGAGCCCAGGACCACACCTGGGGAAGCACACGGACCATACCAAATGAAGTTAGTCAAGGATTAGTCTCCTGAGGGCTAGAGTCTGTGTCAACCTGCAGAAGGGGCTGCAGGTATTATTACTTGGGGTAGGCACTCTGACTTCAGCTCTGGGTTTCCTTGTGAGGCCCTTTGTGATGGTTAATATTGAATGTCAACTTAACTGGATGGGAGATGCAAAGTATTGTTCCTGCATGTGTCTGTGAGGGTCAAGATGGTATAACTACCAGGTGCATACCGTGTTCTGGAGCTCCCTGTGGGAGATTAACATTGAGTCAGTGGACTGGGAGAGGTAGACTGATCCTCAATCTGGGCGGGCACCATCTAGTCAGCTACCAGTGCGGCTAGAATAAAGCAGGCAGGAGAGGATGCGAGAGCAGACTGGCTGAGTCTTCCAGCCTTCCTCTTTCTCCCGTGCTGGATGCTTCCTGTCCTTCAGCATCAGAGTCAGAGTTCTTCAGCTTTTGGACTCTGGGACTTGCACCAGTAGTTTGCCAGCCACTCCGAGCCTTTGGCCGCAGACTGAAGGCTGCACTGTTGGCTTCCCTACTTTTGAGGTTTTGGGATCCAGCACTGGCTTCCTTGCCCCTCAACTTGCAGACAGCCTATCATGGGACTTTACCCTGTTATTGCGAGAG